TTACACAAGCCCCTTCGCCACGACGAAGCAGTGATCCATGAAGGGGAGGAAAGAATATACATTTAAGATATACTGTATTTCAATACTACTTCTCAGATAAACTCAGGATGTATGACCACGTTTTGGCCAAGTTTTTCAAGCAAAGGGACATCGTTTTAACTTTCCCCTTGTATTCTCACCTTCACTGTTACTGACATATTGTGCTTGAATCCAAAGATCTTCCAAATAATCCTTTATCCTCCAGCTGAAAGGCATTTTATTGCCAATCCCTGCAGACACTTCCATGTAATTCTGCACCTGAATTGGTTTTATTTGAGAGCTAAAGAAGATAAAGTAAATTTAAAATGAACAGATGCTTTTTCAATATATTTTAAACGTATTAATGTAAAAACAGAGTCAAGCAAGATATAATGAGACATATTTTAATCAAGTACTGGTAAAAATGTAAGTTTAAAAACAGACACACTGAATGGATTGATGACTGTATGGTGGGTGTATTTGATATACACCATTATCTATATATTGAATAACAAGAATACCATCACATAAAATAAATCTGATTCAATTTGTTCTTCTGAAGTTCTGTATTTGTTCACCCTGCTTTACTCTTTCATCAAAATGTTGGTGGTTGGGGAAGATTTTTTTTTTTCTACCTTTTAGCCATTTTCAACTGAGGTGGTAAATGCGGCAAACTCTTCATGAAGCAGATTTTTTTTAATAAGCCATGCTCACTGAAAAATGAACAGCTAAATCAGCATTACACATCACTGACATATCTATATGCCACGTTATTCCTTCATTTTAACTTCAAATTCCATTTGCATCAACAAATCTGTTTCTTAACCTCATCCCCATCTTCTTCCCACACTTTACCTGCTCTGACCCATGACATAAGGGATGTCCAGAAACTTCAGTTCATTGAACATGAATAACCACAAGGCTTTCACACAATCTTCTGTAGTTGGTTCGAACAGCAAATCCAGATTATAATCTCTGTCCAAAATAGACACCATATAGGCCAGAAGTGGAGTCACCACACTCTGGACCCGTTTCCACAGAGTGCGTCTATAAAAATCAAGAGAGGAAAAGCAAACAATGGCATCTCATAAAGAAATCAAACCCAAATGTCATTTTTTAAAATTTCATCTGATTTGGCTAACCTCACAGTGTGTTAAAGACACTTGAGAAAGAATTTTTAAAACACCAGATGCATATTTTATTACTGAAGAAAGATTAAAACTTCAGTAAGCAACAAACTGCAATTAAACTAAGTCTCCCAGAAGCTGGCATATTTGGATTAAATACAGTATTTCAACCTAAGGAACCCGTTAAAAAAAACCAGGTGGTTCAGAGAGAGAATGGATAGTACTTTAATGTAATCCCAGATCTATTCACCAGAGCATATCTGACATGGAGATACCGGGATTCTGCCAAAGGCAGGGTGCACAGCTTGTAATGCAAGCTGTACCTAAATGTTCCTCCTTCCTGGAGGGCAGTGAGGTTTGATGCCTCCCGGAGCACCCACTCTTTCACATGGAAAAAATTTTCTTCCTGTTCCTTCAAAAGCCAAGAGAGTCGTCTCTTTGTAATCTTCAGGAAGCAGTCTGAATAAAAGCAGAGGAAATTCTAATTGAACACTTTTTAGGGCTACATTTCAAACAAGATTAAAGACCCTATAGATGGGTAATGGAGATTTTGTATCAACATCAGTCAAGATTTCCTGGTCTGTTGCAAGTACTTGATGATCCCACATGAAATCGTAAATGTGCTTCCATAAGAAGAGCTACAAACTTAGCCACTATCTAAGATTACTGAAGAATTACTTGCAGGTCTACATACCCATTGTGAGAAATGTCAGTTTATTCCCTTTCTCTCTTTTCTATTCTTTAACTGATTCCACTTATCTCACCACTGCTAATGGTGTGGGTAAAGGTATGCTGTAAATAAATGCTAGACACCCGGAAGAAGAGTCATTATGCAGCTGTGCATGACCCTGAAACCCTTCTCTTTTTGCATTCTATAGGATTCCTATACATTCACTTTCTCTCAACCCTAGACTGGGAAGTAAAAAATATCTATTTACCAATTCACATTGGACAAGGAGTAGATTATGGTCCATAATTTTTGACAAAAAACCTCATCCTGCAGTGGATTGATTCAGGCTAATAATAATAATAACAACAATGATCTACTTCATCATTTGATATACATATTTGACACTTCCAAAGAACTCCAGAAGGAAGGCAAGCTCTCATCTTTTGACTTTCTATAGTGTCTAGTTAAGCAGAGTCAAGGACAGAGCAAACACATTCTAAGAACTATAAAACAGAAATTGACCCTTTATTTCAGACTTTTCATTGTTTATTCAGTATCTTGAGTGTTCATATAATATGGAGCAAGGAACCTATATTAAAATATCTTTCACTTTACAAAAAGCTATGCTCCTTCTGGACATATTTTTATATATATACCTTTCAAGTCATCTTCCTCAGATAGGAGACTAAGAAGAATTTCAATTCTCTTAGTGCTACGACCAGCATCCTCATTTTGATCTCTTAGCATGCCAACAGCACTTTGAACGCAGCTCCTCAACAGTACAGTAGTATCCAAAATCTTAGTCTTTCCAGACACAGAAGGAAAAAAAAAGTATTAGCATATCCCAAAATAACACACAATAATTTCCTCTATGGTTATTAGATCCCTTGAGATGTGGGAGAAGTGAGCATCTGAATAAACTGAACTGTAGAGCCTTTTGATAGTTGGGTGTCATGCTTAATATTTTTTAGAAAGCTGTAATGATGATGCCAGTGTCCAGGGCCATGATTTTCCCCTTCCTGGGGAGTGGGGTGCCTAGAGATTTTCTTTGGTGTTTGTTTTGGTTTTTTTATTTGTTTTAACTATGCTGTATTTTACTAGGGCTTACATGTCAAGTTTTTTATTAGCGGTGCAAAAAAATCTGAAATACTTCCAAATTTGAAATAGGTTGTCCCAGTCTTGCCAGAACAATGCTGTTCCAACCACAAATGGAAGAGTTCTAAGTGCAAAACAGCCCTTTCGAGTTCAAAAAGGGTATTCCAAGCTTGAAACAGGGCCATTTTGCATCCAGGACATTTCTCTTATGGTCAGACCAGCATTTCAACAGATTCACTAGAACAGTTGTTTCAAATTGAATTGTTTTGTAAACCACTACTTTTCCTTTTCCACTATACCACAGGAGGAAATTATGTCACCCTTTTTTCATGAAACTCAGCAAAAAACAGAGTTTGAGGGCCACATGAGGCTCTGGTGCTTTAATATGCCCACTCCTGGATTCACTCAAGTGCCGGGGAGCAGGGGGAGAAACAATCAACCAGATGCCTAAAAAAAAAGAGAGAGAGAGAAAGAGATCCTGTCTGGATAAGCAGCCTGAGTAAAACAAAAACACTGCAGCACTGGGGACCAGGCAGGTAGGCAACCAGCTACAGAGACTTGAGTTTCTAGAAAAAACAGGTAGGAAAGAACACCTATGCATAACTTAAAGGGGATACGTTATGCCCATCCCTATAGTCTTCTCAAACAGTAGCTAACGGAGCTATCATAAAGATCACAAATACAGTGGTACCTCGGGTTACGAATTTAATCCGTTCCGTGACTCTGGTCGCAACC